ACTATTCACCAGCTTGTTTCTATATATTTTGTGCTGTATTCAGCACCGAAGACAGCGAGATAAACGTCGTAGAGAAGTGTCATCCTTGCATATCCTTGCCCGAACAGCGGTGCAATTCCTCAGAAACTAGAAAGATTCTGAAACAGGCAGGGTAGCCGCATAACGGCAGTCAAAAAAGAAGACTTTAAACATCATTTATAAACACGTATTTGATTTGTATGTCATGTGCATCCAATTACACAATGCAATTCAAGATAACTGGTAAAGCAGCCTTTGCAAGATAGCCGCTCCTCGTTGGGGGTCTTTGGCAGATGAGAATCCGTCAGATTGCAAGATGCTCCCCGAGAAATGGCTTTTTTTGACCAGGAGCAAGGCAGACAGTTTTTCGATCAAGAGCCAGAAGAACCACAGGAGCAGCATGGAGGGAGCGAGTTTGGCGACGGTTCCTATGAACATGCCAAGCTGGTTTTATCATTTCAATATGTGATTTCCCATAAAGTCAGAGGCACTGCTAGGAACATTGGATACAAATCGAAGAATGTGACTGTCTTGTGCATCTTGCTCACAGCTGTTAAGATGAGTCAACATCGGCGGTACAAGAGCCAATGGACTCAATAACTTGCTCGCTTGTGGCTCAAAGCACTACAACAAGGTGCTGCTTGCAGCACTTTGCGTCCACGAGTTGCACCATGTTGCATCGGCACCCGAAGCTCTCAACGGAAACTCCCTCCAAGACCTCGTAGCAATCTGCTTTGATGCAAGATATCAGGCCCGGCAAATGAGTAGCTGAGTTGCGTCAGGGCGTGCATATGTAGAAAGAAGAGCTAGTGAACTAGTTGTTTCCCCCCTGCCGTCTACGGCAAAACTTACACATATTGCAATACTGAATACAGAGTTGGAAGTGATGATTGGATGTACTCCTTCAACAAGCCCCCTCTCGTGAGGGGCAACCCCGCCAACGCCGCTCCGACGCGGTGCGTTGTTTAATTTCTGTCACGGATTTTCAGCTTGAGCCCTAAAGCGCAGCCATGGCAGATGTCGTGGAACAGGTCATGCAGGACGCAGAAACCGTGAAAGCAGCCTGTCGGCTCGGGGCGCGATGTGGTGCATACCGTTCCGTTCGATCGCGGAAGCAAGCCAGCCCAGGTCATTTTTGATCCATATAGAAAATGTCTCAAAGAGGTGCTTCTGGTCTGGGATTCTATTCACTCAACCCCCTCACAAAAGGGGTTGGTGGAGAGCGGGCAACCTTCAAACTGGGCCGGATACAATGAATACTAGCATGTTGAGATTGAGTAGTATGCTTGGGACCCCAAGCACCTACCGTCTTTTTACTGTAATTGCTTTTTACTGCTTGCCGGCAAGTAAAGCTTGGTACTGATTTCTCTAAACTTCCAGACAGTTGATTGTGAGCGGGGAGTTGTTGCCCTTTGTCAGCACCTTGCGATTGACTAGCGATTTGCTGCAAAAAATCTCAAAAGTGTAATGCTGGTCATACGGTCATACTTTCGGCTTCCGATGGCTCCCAAGGCTCAACGACTGTGACTGAGGGGACCGCCTACCATCACTACTTGACAGCAAGCTGGGAAGCTGGAGTACAACTAGAGTCTGTTGAAGTCTGATAGGTAGGAGAACGTAGGATGTAGAAACAAGAGAAACGACATGAAAGGACATGAAACAACTCCAAGTAGATGTTTTTCAACCGGCTCTAAGGGGATCAATCAGCATCAGACAGAAGTGGCAACGAGTGATGACCAGTGATTTGCCGTGAGGAGATGGTGCCTGATCTCGACGACCTGAGGAAAAAGAATATTTTCTCTGAGGAAGAGATCAGGCACTGGAATCCGGGTCTTGGGGTGGCTTCAGTCCTTAGCCTGGCAAGACTCAACATTGACTACAGACCGCTTTTGGGACTTTTGGGGTGAAGATTCTCAATAGCAAAAGGACGCTTGTAGGGTGGATGCCATCGCTACTAGGTTGGAGGCCATCTCTACTAGGTCCAGGTTTGAGGCCATCGCTAGTAGAAACAAAGAAAACAGATTCTCTTTGGTTTCGCAGTTCCGGCCGCATCCTTTTCCTCCCTTTCCCCCAGCAACGGTCTGCGACAGACCGAACTGGGCTGTGTCGGACCCTGGCCGAGTTCTTTTGGCCACGTCATGAAACGTCCAATGAAACGTCGGTGCCCAGACGAGCCATGTTTGACACGGAAGAAAGACGCCCGGATGTCGTATGCATGATGAGGGTGACTTGGGACACCTGGGGACCAGGGATAGTATTGGCAGGGCACTAGTACTCTCAGATAGATTAGTCGCATCGGTTTGCACTAAATGTTGCCATTCCTTGCGTCGAAAGGTCTTCGGGAAGTCGCATCGGTTTCATGATTCCATGCTGTTTTACAATGTTCTGAGGACATGCGATATGCAAATGATCTGGCTATTCCCGTGTTTTACGATGACTTTCACATGGGCACCTTTCTTTCAATGTTATTTCTTTTGGGGTTTTGAAGCATCTGTGGGCTAGAGCTCCTTGCTGATTTTAAAACGCCTTGTAAACAGGAAACTGATGTGACCCTGATGTGACCCGGTCGCATCGGGCCCCCCCTTGCAGATTCACAGTTTTCCAGTCACCTGATGTGACTAACATTGTTGAGAGTAGCAAGAAGCTACTAGTAGCTCCTGGCATTACTACTAGGAACAAGAAGCTAATTACTAGGGACTCCTGGCATCGCTACTAGGCCCAAGAAGCTACTAGTAACAAAGGACATCACTACTAGGAACAAGAAGCTAGTAGGTTGGAGGACCCAAGCGATCGTGACGAAACTCGCCAGGCACATTGTCCGTCGTCGACGAGACTTCGAATATTCGCTTCAGCGCCTGGGTGAATATCCTTGTCGACGACGGCGATTGGGGTCAAATCGGATTTCCCGACACTGGAGGCGTTGGTCATTGTTCCCAAACTATCCTGTCATACAATCGGATTGGCTTAGGCTTGGGTAGGTGGCTTGGGTATAAGCACTCAAGACCAAAACGAACATGTGTGAAATTGGACCAGCATCCGAAAAAGGTACTCTCGCGTTCAATAGCGATTGTCCTCGCCTCGGGCCCAGAAGATACACCAAGTCACATCCTTTGCTGCTTTCAAAGCAACTCATTCGTTTCCCTGAATCATGGTTATTCCGGTGACAGATCATTGAAGTAACTATGTTTGGAATAGCTTGGGTAGCAAGTGCGCAGATAATGTGTTTACCCTCTGACTCGGGAGGATCCGCAGACATTCTGCACCTGACCGCGTAATAAACAATTCTGCTCGCGTTCCTGGTATTCAAGCTACATGGGCAAGAGCTGCTAGCATGGACATAATGGGAAATATGGTGGACACAAACACTCCTGGGAATTTTGAGAGGCTTTGACCTTTGTGACATAAAGAAGGTGGCTTTGTTATCTTTGTTGCCTTCTGGCATGTGTGTTTAAGGCGAAAGCCGGGAAGGCCACAGGAGCTTTGAGTTGGGGACCGGACGGCACGGGTCAGCTCGATACGCAGGGGAACACAGAATCAAACAGAAAAAAGTGAAACCCGTGCCACCTCGACAGCACTGATGTTATAGAAAAATGATTGAAAACAATTGTTTTGGATGGTTTTGGCAGCTCTCGAGAAGCAACCTGTGCCACCTGAGAAGTTTGCAACTGCTCTGTCCGAGAAGTGTTCGATAGTTTTCGTTTGCACACGTTTGCAAAAATTCAGCATCTATCCTTCCTCTCCATAGAATCTAGTTTTCAAGTCCACAAACAACTTATGCTGTCTATAGAATTCCGGTTCCTGTGTTTGATGACCAGTATATACAGTATTCTATAAAATGACTCCTTTATAGAATTAATGTTCCAGCATTTTTCAGGCAAGTGTCTTTCTATAGATTCTGTTCCCAGGTTGTTTTGGCTCTATAAAATCTGATGCCAGGTTGCCAAAGTGCTTCCTATACAATCCCTGAACACAGGTCTGGCCAATGCCAAAAAGTTATTTATGCGGACTTTTTGACTGTTCACCTTTTGATTCTATAGGGAGAAAAACTAATTAGTTTGTTTCTCTATAGAATCCCGCTGATTTCTGAACACATCCCCCTGATTTTATAGAGGATATTCCCATGGGGATTATACTATGCATCATGATACTATAGACAAAGGAGATTCGGTCTGTACAGGCTTTCGGCGGCAACGAACCTGCTTGGTAAGTCTGTGGTCCCGGGTTCTCTGTCGATTGTATGTAAACACATGCGTATGTGTACAGTGGATATGATATTGTGAGCGATTGTGAGTCTGTATTGGGGTGTTGGACAAGCTTCGACAAGTGTCATAATCACTGTGTTTGAGCTTGGATTTTATAGTATATACATGTATATACAAGAGAATCTTAAAAACATGGGAAGAGTGTCCCACGGGGGACCTGTGCCACCAGATTTTATAGAGTGGCCACTTAATTATCCAGGCATGTTGTTTTAAGGATTCTATAGTTTGTAAATATCAACTCCAACCTGGTTCTTTCTGAAATTCACACCTGGATATTATATATATACATACAGTATATTGTTTGTTGCTGGAGCCAACTGCATGCTCGGACAGCTGTGATTTGGTGTCATGAAGTGATCCTTCCTTGCTGAAAAGTCCATGAAGAGGTCATCATTTTCTCAGTGTCTAAGGAACAGCGGTAAGAGTAGGCACTAGTGGTGTGAAATCTGTACTCCTACCGCAGTCGTCTACAAGAGGATATGCAGGAGAATGTTCACCTACCATAATACATATTATACAGGGTTTGAGTATTTACATTAAGAAGATATTGAAGGAAAGCGTCCCTTGCCAGGACGTTCTGAACTATGCCGGGCACTCAGCACATTCTGATCTTGGTACCTTTGGAGGTGTATCGGCAAAATACTCAATCAATTGAATAGTCAAGACATGTCAAAACACAAGTGTATAGGTCATGGCTCGCTGTTTCAGTGCAGCTGTCGCTCTTCTCTTTGCTCAGCCCGGCGAAGCGGCCTTTTCTCGCGCGAAGCACCACGCGCGAGCGGGTCCAAGCCGCTGGCATGAGGGCGTGCAGGGCTTCATGGCTTTTGCTGCCTTTGTGCAAATCCATTTCCATTCCGTGGAGTGACTCCTGTGAGGTGCTTGGGGAAGCCGTCATGTGGATTTGTTGACAGTGCACGTGGAGCACATATTCCACTTTTCATGTTCAAAAGAGTCGTTCTCCCGATCAGTTCCTTTGCCGAACTCCCTGGCGCTTGGGTATTTGTTGAGGAGATCCACAGCCTCCACATGCTGCAGCACCACAGCCAACGGCGCAACCGTTTCTCGTCCACCTCCCCAAATCCGGATGTCCTCGTTTGGAACGAGGTTGGACAATACTACGATGGTGGCGAAGCAGAAACATGTGGGGATGGACCGGGAACAAAATGCTTGGACCATCAAACGACAGTGAGGAGGGTGAGGTGATGTCCAAAGGTTGAAAAATGCCTCCAAGGGATGCCAGATCATGCCAGTGATGCCAGAGTTATTTCCTGAAAATTATAAGCCAGAAAACAATACTGGCTTTGAGCACGGATTCAAACATTTGGGCCATGTTGGGTCACTCAATGCACCGACTGTTTTGAACTTGCTTTTCTTGGGCCTGGTTGGATTGTTTTTTGGCTTCATGGTTTCGCTCCGGCGTCCTCGTCGAAATTCCTTCAGCAAAAGCGCTGCCATGACTGGAGGGCTGTGTCCGAAGCCCTAAGGGTGTCCCCTTGCTGGTTCCCCAAACGATCCAAGATGCACTCGAAGACTTGCAGCAGAAGGAAGCTTCACTTTAGAGGAGGGCCTTGCCTTTGTTGAATGAAACATGGATCAGCAACGATAAACAGAACGCGAGGTCCGAGGTGCCGTTTTGTCTCTTTTTGACGTCAGTGACGTCCTCGACTCCGGTCTTCGGACGTGGTGGGACGCCCCAAGTCAGGCACCTTGCGAGTGAAGCTGGATATCTTCGACCCTGACAGTCCCAATCTTACACTGCCCGTCTATATGCGCCCAGCCACGGAGCAGCCGGCGCCCAAAGGAGTGGCCCGGCCACGAAAAAGAGAGGTTCCAAATGGAGCTAGGGGGGCTACAGCCTTGCTTCAAGGCTGCTGTAAATGGTTTATTTTCTGAATGGATCCACTAGCAGTCTGAACATCATTTTTGTGGACCTTTTGCTATCGACTGTGAGTGGGGGATAACCAAGGGTAGATCAGATCGGTAGATACATATGATTTCCTTCGAATATCTAGGTGGAGGACTGCTTTTCAACTGATATGATCATCCATGCCAGTGCCCATTGCGCTCCCAGATCCTTTTGATGCACTGTGGTGGGCCTGGTTCCACTAGAGACTGTGTCTACTACACGGACGGCCCACATTTGGAGGTGCTGTCGGCGGAGCGGCCTTTCTGAATGCAGCATCAAACATGGAATGCGTGACTGTGTGCGGTCCCAAAGATATAAAGCTGACTGCATAGTCGTCATGATGTTTGATTGATTTCTATATAGACCTTTTCCTTAACCATCCTATGTCATTATAATAGAGGCGGAGTCTTTCGGGTGAGGTTCTCTGTGGCCTTTGTGCAGGGTGCTTTCACCGCTCTCCGCCAGTGACTCGAAAGACGAAGACGAGTAGAGGAATCACCTTGTTCCACAGGGCCACCACCTTGTCTCCCCGGGTGTGTTTGCGCAGCCCTGGGCTGCCTGTTTCTGTTGGGAATTGTCCGTGTTAATCCTAAAATTATCCAAAGTCAAAGAAGCACATACATACAGCATAAAATTACTTGATATCAGAAGGTTGATCCTCACAATCCACATTCTGCCGCAGGGCTATGACGTTTTTGCCATCACCCAGCGTGGCATGGAGGGCACTACGCCGTCCTTAAACTGTGACAACTCCAAGCTGCCTGAGACATGTCCTCCTGAGGGCTGCCAGGCCTGGTTTTCCGGCGCATGACGGCCTGCATCCCATGATGTCCCATGAGCATTCGTTTAGAGCCAGAGGGGCTACAGTCGTGCTACTCGAAACTGCAGATGGAAAGGGTTCCCCTCGTGCTTGATCATTGGGTTGCTAGTGTTGAAACATGTTCAAACCGTACCGTATGTGTTTTTTGGAGGTGGGGTCTGTCTAGACTTTGGGAAAGCAATGGGATTCCCACAGGTTGGGCTCTCGAGAACTATTGCGTAGGAGAGCTCGCTCGTGAAGAGGTCATGCAAAGACTTGGCAACAGAATTTTGAGAAGAAACATCCAGGAACCTGAGCTATCCCCATAAGCAATATGGAGGTGGCAAAGTTTCAAAACCATCGTTGCTTGGGTAGCTTTGGGAGCTATTTGAGGTTCTTTCGCGTTGTTCAGATTTCACTGTCCATGAAGAGTATCCTCGTGCAAGCTATCTTGCCTACATGTCTAGAACTGCGCAAATATGGCTTTGTCAAGAATTCCCACAGTCTTAGAGTGGAATAGTTGTTTTTGTCGAATTCGAATGGACATGGAGGATCATGGAGGAACTCAAGCAACACTGCAAAAATGTTCAGTCATTGTGGGTCCCATGTGGGGTGGTGAACACGAAAACATATCTTCAGACCCAATCCAAGCAAACTCTCATCCCATCCTATCCTAAATCTCCTTGCATCAGAAGCTTTTTTACACAATTTCCTTGCTATTGCTGGTCGGTCGGTGTTTCCTGCCACTGCCCAAACAATGGAAGTCATACAATTTGACATTGGCCCACCATTCTATGCCACATCAATGCAATGGCCAGTGTTGAACCCAATTTTGGGTGTGAAACTGTGCAGTACTTATAGAGAGTGCCCAGGTCCCAAAGAGTAAGTGGCAAGTGAACAACAGCGAATACTCCAAGCATTGAACATGCCCGGTCTTAGACGACGTATTATTTTTGCAGTCTTAGATATTCTGGCTTGAGCAGAAACAATAAGCTACTAGGAACAAGTGCATCGCTTCTAGTAACAAGTGCCTTACTAGTAGTAACAAGAAGCTAGTAGAAACAAAATATAAATAGTCTTAGGTTTGTCAACCGTCCGATGTCCCCAGAACTCGCTCTCGGGCGGCTCTCGGGCGTGAGGTGAGCGACTTCACTGATTGCCCGTGTGCCCTCCTGGACGGCACACCTCAGCTGGGGGAGATTTGGGCCGATTTGGATCCAGCGACTCGGTTGGAGGGACCAGACTTGGTTTTTTGTTGGCTAGAGTGCCAGTAGTTGGTGAATGGGGTGTATAGATGAGGTAAATATAATGACAAAACATATATACATATATTATATAAATATATATGATATGTCTATTATCAATATTGTACTAGTTACATAAGACTTTTGGTCACCCACGGTCTCCCCTTTGGATTTGCCCCACCATTTTTGGGTTGATATTTGTATATATTGAATTGAACTTTGATACTGAGACTACTTGATGACTGCTTTTCCTCCATGTGCGTTCTAGCAACTTGGTGCTTCTTGTACCGCAGATTTCTGAGGCCAATGAAAGCCAAGTCTTGAATCTCTTCAACAAGAGACAGGCCTGGGGGCCACGCTGTGCTGCCTCAGAGAAGTTCCAACTGCGAGGAAGAGGTGGAAAGATGTCGCCTGGCTCGGCGCTTGGAAGCGCGAGGGTGTGAGATGAACCAGAAACAAGCGAGAAGGGGAAGTAAGTGAGTGAATGACAAGTCTCTTGTGAAAGAGAGTGCCTGATGAACCGTGAGTGACTCAGATTGCATGGGAATAAGCACCAAGAGACTTACTGATCATGCATCTCAGCAAAGTACCCTCTAGCACAAAGCTGGCCGATTTCTTGAGGAGTCTTGATTGTTCTGACACCGGTCAATTTTATGCTTAGCTAGTACAGGACCACGACAGGTCTCTCTCAAGGCCTGTCATGAAATTGAACCGATCGGTGGGTACAATGGATCGGGTGCCATGCATTCCGAATTCGGACAGGAGACGATCTCATGCACCGCCTTGGTAACCTCGATTGACTTTCAGGTCCATCGATGTCCATCGTTCATCCAGGTCCATCGATGGTCCTGACCCGGAAGTTGTTTTCGGGTGCTGATTCAGGGGGCTGTCGGCTGTAGTTCCCTAGAGAGCGACGTTGAGGACTGCAGCCCAAAAGCCTCCCAAGAAACGTCCTGAGACGTGCTGAACTACGTCCTGAGGTACAATTTTCTAAACTACGTTGGCACTCAGTTTTTGGTATATGATTTGGATGAGATGAGGAAGGCGGTCGGGGCTGAGAACTTGAGCATCTATGGATACAGCTATGGTGCCTGAGACTTGCAATATTGTGTGCGGGTTGTTCTTGCAGACAGATACCATATTCGTAGATCACTCATCTATCAATTGCAATTAGGGTTACAGCCCACCAAAAGTACTTCCTGGACAAGCTCGGCACAGTTGTTGTCTTGACGGACGCCGATCGCACGCACCTGGTCACCTCCACTACGCTTGCCTCTTCCTTTGGACCGCACAGGGACCTACGTGGGCGGCGTCTACGCTTCGGTCTTCAGCCAATCCACCGGGCGTGTTGTCCTGGATGGCGATATGGAGGCCTCACCCCGAAAGGATGCCCAGTCCACTGGGGACGCCGTGGCCAACGATGCTTTGGTGGAGAGGATGGTTGAGTGGGGAAATGGTGCCGTGACGGGACAAGGAAATGGGTTTAAGACGGTTTGAGGGTCTAGAGTCTAGAGAGCTTGGAAATTTGATGAAATTTGTTTTGTGCAGCAGGTGACGTGGGTCTGATTTGAAGATTTTGCTGCTGACTTGAGTTGGGCAAAGATGTCAAAAGCGAACTCGAGTAGGTTTGTTGTGGTTCCCAGTTTTGGGGGGCATGAGCAACCTGTGATGGAGATCTTGACCTTTTCTTCCAATCCAGTTGGGGAGTTTGCATTGTGAGGGAAGAAGCTTTCGATGGAGGGTTGATTAATATACCGCAGTTGGAATTGTCTCCAAGTGGCAACACTGAGCTTATATTAGAGCCACCAATGCATCAATGTTTGTGTGCATTTGAAGGGGTGGTTGAATGGTTTGAGGGATCTGATGAGAACAACGTGCCGTTTGGAGTGCATCCTTCCAATGGTGTGTTCACAGCTTCCAGATTCCAGATTCCAGGGTATCAGGAAATGCCACAGCAGTTTTGTTCGACAAACAGGGATTTCTTACTAGAGCTATGGAGTCCAGGAAGGAGGCGAAACAACCAAACAAAGACCAAGTGGGATGCAACAAGCGCTGTATGTAAAGTTTGAATTTGTATAGTCTGACTCTGACGTGTGAATACAAGCTGAATACAGAATCCAAGATGCAGCTCAAGTCAGCCAGTTTTAGCTGTCTCATGGTGAACCAAAATATATCTCAGAGACTCATGGCAATGAGAGGATATTGTTGTTCTGTTCGGTAAAGTGACACCGATATAGTCTACTGCACCTCGGTCTGAATTTCGGGCTTTTGTGCCGAGGACAAGTTCGTCGCGTATTTGCTGAACACTTGCCAGGAATCTGGGGAGCATGCTTTGTATGTGTTTGTGTTGTTTGTCTACAGGGTGTTGCCCCCGTAAACTTTGCCACGGTGCTCCATCAAACCCATCAAATTCCATGAAACCCAAAGTCCGACTATCTGATACTCAAAGTCCGACGCAGGGAAAAACCTTTCTTTGGTTTCGGATCTTTTGAAGTCCTTTCCTGTTTCATCCGAGGCGAAAGCCTCAGAATGTTCACTGAAGGATCCTCATGTGACCTATGCAAAGCTCGTGCAGCGCGCGCGAGCTGGAAAGCTAACGGCTCCCACTGAATCGGGGATGGACTTCCCGTTGTCGGTGGGGCTTTTGATGGCCTACCTACAAGCAGAGTCTCCTGGCGTCGGCGGGGGATTGTCAACCATGAGACAACAACAATGACATTGATTGAGGCAAAGATGAGCAAAGGTTTTAGACATGAAGCAAAATGGATTGGTCTAGAAATTGAGGTCTGTATCCAATTCCGGGCGTCACTTCGCCCGAGCCTTGCAAACCCTTGCGGCACTGGCTGGCAACGATGTTGGAGAGCGAGAAAAAGCAGTGGCCTTCATTCTGGAGTCTTGGCCATTAGCGTCTTCAGCGGAAGCTTGAACCAGTCTAACAACGAGGGCAATTCCGGACAAAGAGGCGTGGTGAATAGGGACCAGTTCATTGGTGGTCATAAACTGGCCCGTTTGTGGCTCATAAGTTCTAGGTTTGCAAGGCTCTTGGCTACCCATCCAGTTCAGCAGAAGATTGAATTGTCTCTTGCGAAGAAAGCGGAAGAAGTTGAATTCACATTTTTTGCATGTTTTGGCTTTGAACGTGACAAATGGGATACAGATACATACAGTATGGGCTTGTCACTATCTCTGGACTCGCCAACCCTGTCATCTTGCGAGCACACAAAAGGGTAAATATTGGTGATGAGAAGCTAGACTAGTCCTTTCACGTTGAGACACATGTGCACCCAAATCGGGCTATTGAATCTATTGATGAAACCTTTTCAGTCCTTGCAGCGGCCCAGGACGGCTTTTGCTATGTCAAGAGGGTGGCCACCTGGTCGAGATATGACATTTGCATTGGGCCAGGCCAGGGCTCTCAAACAACCTATCAAAATCTATCAAACAAAAACATGTCCACCACGCCGACGTGTTCACAGCACAGGCCACACCAACGAGTATGAGTCTGCTCCGGGGATTTCTTTTGCTGATCCCTATTTGGAGAAATGTGCAGTGTGGGGCTTGGACCTGGCTGGCTACTACGATGTCTCGAATTTGATGCATCAGCCGCCTGGTGAGACAAATCGAATCATTGCCTGGATGTTCTTAATGTTCCCCAGTAGCGATGCACCTTGTTACTAGTAGCTTCTAGCTTCTAGCTACTAGTAGTAATGCTCTGATTACTAGTAGCGATGCCCTTGTTTCTAACTAGTAGCTAAAGGTCTCTAGAGCTAGGATTCTCAGATATTCTGAGCTATTTGAAGCACCAGAGGTGCAAGTGAACTCAGCGAGTTGAAGATTCTTCCCCCGTCTTCGCCCAAGGTGGACAGTCGAAAAGATCTCAAGGCTGGAGTCAAAATAACGTTTAATTTTGTCAAGTTGAGTCATTGTTTCCTTTATTTTTTTTGGAGCGGCGCTGCACAAGCAGCTGGGCATGCGTTTGAATCCCAATTCTCTCAGAATCACAGGATCAGACAAGCGCAATTGCTGTGCGCAAGAAAGAGCGCACGCCTATGGATAGCTACTTGCAGATTTTCGTTGTTCGGAACCACGTTTCAATTGTGGTCCTTTGTTTTCGTATCCTTTCTGCTTCGTCCAAGAAGGTGCCACCTTTCAAATTTGTTGTTGTTTTTGCTTTTATAGTTAATCCTCTCACATCAACGACAAACAAGCACAGTCGTTGAATTTATTTGGATACGCCCCGAACTTGGTAAACACCTGAACCGATTCAACATATAAGAACGGCTCTCCATGGTCTTTGTTTACTTTGTGCTCACAAGAAACTTGGGCACTTCTTGGGATTCCATCATATTCCGGTGCTTATATAATCTTGAAACGATGATGATCGTTGCAATAGCTTGGGTAATGGGTGTTTTTTACATCACAAATTTGCAGATTTCACTGCTGGGCTCTATATGACTTGAGACTGTAGACTACTTCGCATTGTTCTGCATGTTGGCATCGTTTAAGGGGTGCCTGCCCAATAAGTGAACATCCCTTTCAGTTTCCATTCATGTGCATGCTGGTCAGTTGAACTTCTTTGATCACGAACGGATCCTTACCACAATGTCTAGGGAGATGTTGCTTCGCATATAGTGACGTAGATCATTATAGAACACGGCATACATGCATACGTTTGATCCATCGTTCACCGGTTTTGCTTCTTTGTTTCTTGTTCGCAGGGGTGATGCTGGTTTGGCGGCGGTGGTGGGTGACATGGCCGGCTATTTCCTGTGGCCTCTGAAAGCCACGCCCACTGCACCCATGGGGAGTGCTATCGTGACGCTTGTTGTGAGTCAGGGTGGGACAGGTCCAGTCAATCGCGTACGTGCGAGACCTTTTGTTGAAGGGACCACCCAAATGATATCTTGTTTGAATGCCGTGGCATTCAAATTTCAACATGATTGATTAGTTTTCAATATATGATGCATGCTCCCAAATGCTCGTGGAACCTGTTCAACACTGCGGACACCTCACGATCTTTTGACACATGACATCAGTTTTTTGCGCCAACTATTGTCCAAGAATATGTTTGTTGAATATTGCTAGCAGAGCTAACACTCAGTGCTGGACATGACGAAGCTTTGCTGCCAGTTCTAAGTTTTGGCGTCAGGGAGTGATTGTGCATTAGGCTTTTGATCAGTACACCGGGGGTCAGTAGTGACACACCCTCCGTTGTCTAATGTTGTCAGTTGTTGGCAAGAGACAAGCAGTTTAGCTGGATTGCCCACATTATTTGAGCGTTATGAGGATATCTTTGGCAACAGATAATGAAAAGGACCGACCAATGAGAGGGTAATACAGTCTAAGAAAATGAGAGCTCCTCCAATCAACTCCATTGGGTTGGGTGGATGTGCGATGTGAACATTGATCTAATTCTTGGGAATGATGCAAGAAACCAGCTTCTTGTGCACGTCTATGGCATATGATGGCATGGTTCGTGATTCGGTCAGTTGCACAATCCCTTCTGAGGCGTCCTTTGATTGTTGGAAATTTGTTTGATTCGGCGACGAGCTACAGCTGGGCACAGGCGAACACACCCGTTGGAGCCGCAGATCTCGAGCATGGCACCATCCACTTGCATTTGATGTTTGCTGAATTTTGCTTGTTGAATGATCGAACATGGAATCACGGGAGACACCCACTGCAAACGTGGAGAAGAAAGTCTGAAACTGCCGAGGAAGGATTCTCCCTCCCTCCCTGCCTGCCTGCCGTAAGATCTTTGCCTTAAACATGCCCAGGTTTGCTGCTGATACTTGTGTCCCTTTGTTTAACAATTTAAAAGACGACGGCAGGCTACAGCAGAGGTTCCCCATGGACGCCCATGGACCTCTCCTCCATGTTCACAAACGTGCACCAGGATATGAAGAAGGCCTTTCCGGATGGATCCATCATCACATGGCAGGCTTGGATGTTGTCCAAACATTGCTTTGCTTGGGTGCCAAAGTGAGATGTGCAAGACAATTAATGTAAATGAAATTCTTTCACAGCAGGTGAAATTGGTAACGAGAGAGTCCCAAATGTGTGGGAAAGATATGATTTGGAGACCTCCTGAGTCAGTCAGTACGCAGAGGTGCTCAAGGTCAAAGATGAATCAACAAAACATAAATTGAGTGGCCCAGCATGGGTTCTCTTTGTGCGCAAGTTTGAGCCCAGCATGGGTGTCTCTTCAGTAATGATCATAGTCAGTACTGTAATTATTATCTCATGATCTCTAAACAAGGATCTTCAGGTCCCATCGAGAAAATTCCGTTTGGCCTTTTGACGCTGTTGACGCTGCGGTGGTGTCACCGAAAGCGTTGGGACCCAGGGCCTGGGCCACACCTTCCCAACCTATGCGACCGACTACAACCGACAAGCCATTGCACACTGTTGGAGTCACATCGAAGACTATTTGCAGAATGGCACCATGCCAATCAATGGCCTGCTATGTTGGCAGAAGGAAGACCCCAAAGTTGGTTGAGAATTGGCCCCAGAGGCAGTGATTGCACACTTCCTTTGAGTTCTTGGGACAGATCATCCACAGCCGCAAAGCATGGATGTGGTGTTTGATGCACAAGAGTAGAAAAAGGCTTGACGGGTTTTGTGCATCGCCTGCCTCTGTCCAGTGGTGGCCCACCCTTTGCAAACAAAAACACTTTTCTTTTTTTGTGGCAGATGTTGGGCACCAAACCCCGATGGATTCCAGTCGTCCTCCGGGTGTGGCAAACCTGCAGTCTTTGAAAGGCCACCGCGTCCTGATTTGGCATAGGTTGTACAAGTTTTGTTTATAATTTGTACAAAGTTATATAATTACGCTAGTTGGGTCACACTGAACTCGATGGCAACAGAGCTCCCGAACTATGGGCTGCCCCCCCATTAGTGGCCTATTTTGGATATCCTCCCTGTGGGCATACAATCCCTAGCAATTGCAAAGAGTTTCCGTACCAGTCGCTTTTATTTGTTGTAGTTTGTAGTTTTTCTTTAGCATGCCACCTGCAACGATATCGAGGGTGGTTTGATGGGCCGGCAGTTGCAGCAAGGTCCGTTACGAGATCGCGATGGAAAGCTTGAGGCCTTGCTGAGGAATTGAAGCTTGATGTTTCAGGATTCTGAATCAGACAAGCAATGGCATTGGAGAGGGTGTAAATCTTCAGACTAAGCACTTCATCAATCAATCCATCCTTTGGGCATGTTCATTGAGATGACCATGGCACTGAGTGGACTTTTTCTTTCATGATTGACTAGGTGGGCAGTTGAAGTTTGAGCCATCAATGAATCAATATCCCAGGCGCCGGAGATCCGAAGGTCTGCGATGGAGGAAGAAGTCTCGAAGTGACTATGCGAGGTTCCCAGTGGATTTTGGATCACAAAACCTCAGATGAGATGATGAGATGATCAGATCAGCATGTGACGATTGTGCAAAAGAGAAACAACGGTATGCAAAGATGAGGTATCCATACCTTTGGTGGCGGACCTGATTCTAGCATCTTCTATATAGCGCGCAAGATGTTCTTTTTGTTGGGATGTGTGATTCTGGACTGCCCTCACGTTCAGTATGTTTTCAAATGTAGACCGGCGCCAAGTATGCAGCGGCTTTGGCGCAGAAGGACCTTCACTACTGAAAGTCAAGTTTTGGGGGGAATTCCTCGTTTGCGTGTCATTTCGACAACGTGCAAGTGCGCGCTGAGTGACCTTATGTCCTCCCTTCTTGGTGCCTAAGTACTTTTCGTTTTCGTGAAGCACAAACAGGCCAGCGAGAGAAGTGGAGAGATGTGGAGAGAACCTGATTCTTTCCACACCACAACTGCCAAGGCCGGGATCAATCACATCCACCACATTTTTTCACGCGGAACGTGCCGTGGTGTGGACATAAAATGGGAGGAGTGTCAGAGACCTGGGAACTGGGCAGTTGGAGCAAGCTTAGCCTTCTTCTTGAGTAGCCTCATATTAATTAGTTTCTTTGTTTGGAATGGCACAGGTCTATTGAGTCTTGCTCTTGGATTACGCACTTCAAATCAGACTCGGAGTCGACCGCTTCAATAGTACATTTGAGAAGCTATGGATGTTTTGCTCCATTGAACCGACAAGACCATGGTGAATCAATGTGAATCATACTCGTGTGACGGTGTAGATGGATTAGTAGCTTCTTGTTACTACAGTAGTAGTAACGCACTTGTTACTAGTAGCGATGCACTTTGTCTCGTCTTTGTCACCCGTTGAGGGGCTGTATTGGTCTCCGGATGCTGGGCTGCCGTCTTTGACTACACAAGCTGTCGGCTCCGAGCTGCTCAGGAAGCGCTACAAGCAAGACCTTCGTTTATGGCCGGAACCTTATCAGGCGGAGTCGTGGAGTCCCATTGGTTTCCAGATTTAGCCACCAAAGTGAAGAATTGATTCATTGATGTCCTTGGAGTTCCCAGCATTTGGATCTCATCCCTTTTGGGCAGCCATTGGTCCATTGACTTGACAGAAGATCGTTTTGAGGAGGGAACGTTCGTTCATGGATGGATGGATGGATGGATGGATGGATGGATGGAGTTTTTGTCTGGCCTCAAAACAGGTACTGTATGGTTGAATGCTCCAAAACACCACTTGTACTATATCAAGATGTGAGAGAGGAAGGGTTTAGCTTGGAGCCATGACAATTCACACTCCCTTTGCTGAGGTATCAGCATTTGGACTTTTGCTTAAGAAGTGGCCTCTCTGGCCATTTCCGAGTGTTTGTGAGAGCACCTCTTCAGCCCAAGCCCACTCGGGTTGATGCATCAAGGGTGATTCATCAAAGAGTTTCCGCTCCGTTGAAACGCAATGATACAGAAAGGCAGCAACATGTGCGTACATGCGGGCCCATGTTTCAGCTGACTGCATGCGGCGCAAGACCACCAAAGCTGAAAGCTTCGATCATGTGATTAGAAAGTTCGGTGAAGAGACGTGTCCTTCAGAAGCGGCTTTTTGTTCAGGTCTGTATCACTGCTTTTCGTGACACATTGTTTCCAAATCTGAATGCTATGGACAACCAGGGCAATCTATAACAAAAACCCAGCAGGGCGACATGGTTTCCCATCAGCCAGGGAGCTCCAACGTTCTCACACGAGTCCTGATGAAAGCAGTCAAGCCAGGAGCTCAGGCAAAGATCTTGGATGTTGCGAAGCAACTTCCAACGCCAATCATGGATACAGAGCCAGAGGGATACTAAGAGTGATGCCACTAGGGATCGTCAATAAATGTAGGCGTGCTATCCACGGCCATGACCTCCAGTGAACATCCTACAGGTGAAAGACTAGCCGCCAGCTAGCCTATTGACCTATCACACGTTCGGCTGTTTTACCGAAAGCCAAATCGGGATGCAATCCTTTCAATCCTTTGGCAAGCCAAGGATCTCTTCAAGTTCTCTTTCCTGTGATCACGAAAGCTAGCGTCAGCTAGCTGGAGTCACTCTTGCTTTAGAAAGTTTATTGCTGTGAGATGGAATGCCCTACCCTGGGAATGATTCATGCGTAGGGACGTCTCAATGCAACATCGTCTCATTCTTCAACCCTTTGGTTGGACAGGAAGGATGCTTATGAGATCTTATGAGAACCCATGCTAGCTGCAGCTTTCGTCACCAACCCCCGGCCTCAAGTTTCCAACATTCTTTGACCTACGCAAAACCCACACATCCCCAGCCGTTGAAGCTTTGGTCGCCCAGGTACCATCCCCGGCAGGTCTCCTTGTGGCTGTTGGCCGCCGATCGGGAGCTTCAGCAAGGCTGTTGGCCCCTTTCGCAACAGGAAGAGTGAAAGGACATTGACTTTTGGTTACTGTACTTCTGGGATCCCAGCATCAGGATTTCAACAGAGACAATGTCCTAGAACCGTTGATGAAATTGGCTAAATGTTTAATCAGGGGTGCCTTTGACATCGGGACCTTCTCCATGAGTTACGGTTTAGCTGTTGGGGCCCGGGGTCGGTTTGAGGTTGAGCCCTGGCGGTTCCGGATCGATGTTTCGTTGGTGGTGCACCGCAGATTTCGCCGGGTGATCAGACTCACCATGGGACATCAGACATCATGCAACTCAAGTGTCACGGATTGTCGACTGGATCAGAATATTGTTTTTTCTTTAATGTTTCTCACCCTTTGAGTGCTGTAAAGAGGAACCCTAAGCGAAGGGTCTTTGGTTTGGAACGCGTCCGGACGCTTTTCCGAGAAGCGACCGCAGCGGAGGCCACGTGGACGCTGCTCGGAAGCTGCTCATGCGGGGCTTGCGATGTCTTCCGACCTCGGTCCCTGGGCGACGTGTGACGCGGTGCGAGGAGGGAGGACCTGGGAGTTTCAGCCTTCACCCAGTTTGGGAGCCCCAAAACGCTCATGAAACTGGCTGGAGGCCATCGCTAGTAGGTTGGAGGCCATTTGCTATCAGAAACAAAGAAACATGAACAGGAAGAACGGTCTAACACAATAACCCAACCACATGGTTCTGATGAGTCCATCACCTGCCACTATATATTCGTCATGCCATTGGGTGTTGATGTACCAGAGCAATTCTCAGGAAAAGTTTGATATCAGCTCTTATGATTAGCTAGTAACAAGAACGCTACTAGGGGCTCCTGGCCATACTACTGGGAGCAAGGACGCTACTAGGGGCTCCCACTCACTGAGAGTCCGTGACGCCTTCGCGACAGGGAGGGAAGGGACGCCTTCGCGTCCAGGCAAAGCTCCTGGGGGAGTTCTTGCGACTGGAGGTGGGTGTTGCGGGACAGCTCTTGAGCGTCCAAGACATGGAAGATGAGGCGCTGGGCGGCCGGGGAAGGGTGCCCTGATGGCGAAGGGCCTGAGGCGCTGGGCAAAGTAGGTTTTTGGTTTTCCGCAAGGTTTCTCCTGCTTTCCAGTGAAAGAAGTGGGGATGTGGAAGAAGGCATGGCTTCGTTCAAGTTCCTACTTTGGCATCAAGGGTGTTCCTTTCAACATGTCTCAAACATCCGTTGATCTAGAATTGTCAAGTTTTCTTCTGACAGACTCTTGCTCAAGATTGCTCAAGTCATAATAGTCATATCACACAAGCCAGCAGCCTTACCTTGACTCATTGGCACCAAATAGATCGAACTGGATGAACATCGATGAACACGGCGCAACGACGAGGTGAATGCCCAACCAATCGTGTCCTACTGCCTTAATTTGAAGCATGTTCAATAACTCAAAATCAACCAAATGAAAAAACGGTGCCTTCAGGTTTGGTGACCTAAAATGATCGAGATGCCTCCTGCAAATCACTTGAACTGGATCTCTGTTGAGGTTCTGCCTCTCGCCCATCGCCCATCATGTCCTGATTTGGAGGTCAAAGTCGAGCAGAAAGACGTTTGGGGCCCGACGAAGCTGGTCTTCAAGAAGGGCTTGGCGAAGTTGGAAGGCCGAAGAGATGGGTGAACCACGTCATTCTAATAGCTTTTTGTTACTACAAGTAAGGCCAGGAGCCCCTAGTAGCTTCTTGTAACTACTAGTAAGGCACCTGTTCCTAGTAGCGTGGCACCTGTTCCTGGTTGTGAAGATAGTTCTCCTTTGGGAGTCTCCAAAAGGCTGTAGCCTGACAACCCAAATGATCCTTGATA